TTCTTGCTCATATTTTGAAATTCCCTTTTTAATTTTTAAAAATATTTAAATATGTATAATTTATATTTAATATTTGATAAATCCAGTATTTTAAGTCCCTGAGGGTACAATTCTGCTGTTTATTGTTTGTATTGACTCATTAATACTGGCTATTTCCTAGTGAGTTGTATTATTTTGAATTATGAGCTCTTACTGGCTAGGACTTACCTATAGAAAACTCTGACATGAGGCATTATTCTTGAATAATCTTATATTTCCTTCTGCCAGATTCCTTGTAATCCAGTTAATTCCTAATTTTGTTAGACCATTTAGGCAGTATGAATTTGAACCCCAATCTTACCTGAGAGCAGGACAAGAATTATTGTCTCCCTACCAACCCTAGATAGACAATTGTCCTTCTTGTTTTCCTTTCCTGATGGTAGATTTTTTTTTTCTTTGTCCAGTCTACCAGTGATGATGATGATATAAGGGTTCTGGTTCCAATTCCTGATCTGGCTGAATCCTGAACCTGTGACATTTAGTCCCTTAAGGACAATGAGGGGCCTAGGATCCAGACAGTAGTAAACATACTCAGGGCAGCCACTACTTTGGACAATGAAGATAATCAACAGAATTGTTTGAAAAATATGGAAATAAAAATACTTCAATAAATCATGAATTATTATTATTAATTTCGTAAGTTAAGAATGTGTCTTTATGCAAGTGTGCGTTTGGGAAATATTTTTTTATTTTTTTAATGTTTTATTTATTTTTGAGACAGAGAAAGACAGAGCATGAGTGGGGTAGGGGCAGAGAGACAGGGAGACACAGAATGTGAAAGCAGGTTCCAGGCTCTGAGCTATCGGCCCAGGGCCTAACATGGGGCCTGGAGTCACAAACCATGAGATCATGACCTGAGGCGAAATCAGACACCCAAAGGACTGAACCACTCAGGCACCCTTGGGAAAGATTTTAAATGTTAATTTATTTCCTACTTGTATTACAGATTGTATTGATAATTTTGTATTCAACTTATGACACTCAAAAGACAGAGATTTTTTTTAAAAATGTTTTGAAGGTCAAATAAATTGGAGACAATCATTCTTTATTCCATTTATAAGACCTAGGTAACTTGTCTTGGTAAAGCTAGTACTAAAAATGCCTCTTTGTAGACAGGTAGTTAAAATACCATACAGAACTCATTTTTGACTGTCAAACCAGAATTATTTGCAACCCATAGATACATACAACCTTGTATGCTGACACCTCACTTAACTGTTAAATCACCTAAAAGATTATCTTGTCTTTCTTTTATGTGAATTCAGAAGCACAAAGCTATTTAAAATTCCTTCTCCAGAGGAATTCTATTAGGAGTATTATATTTCTTTGGCAGTCCTAAAAGGAACCAGCTCGATATTTTAACATCATATTTTTTAAAGATACTTGGGTTATTTTTTAAAAAGTTAGATTGCAACCAGAGAAATATACACTATGTAAATGGAGTGAATTTTTATCAGAGTTCTACAGCTCAAAGTGTTCTTTCACACCTGTCTGGTATTGAGGTAAACCACGCCTATTAGCACTGTGACATTCAAAAATGCATGTGATTAGTTGGTGAAAAAACACAAATAGAGAGTATTTTCACCTACTACTCTCTGCATATTTAAATATGCACAAACAGATAGATGGTGTTTTCACATATAAGTTTTAGAGTATCTCAGAAGGGCATACGAATAAAAAGGGAAAAAAAGATTTATTGTACCATAAAAAATAGTCTATAGTCACAGTGCAGCTATGGGGAAAAGAAATTATTGAAGCGTAGCTCAGGTAATTTTAAGAGACTGATGCTAATAGATAGTGGAGGCCGAACACATTCTGAATTTTGAAAAGAAAGAAAATAGTGGACAAAGGAAGACAATAGCAATAATAACTACCACTTATTGGGTTCTTACTGTATATTAGAACTATACTGAGTGATTAAAAACAGTCTCAAATATAAGAGAGTCCATTTATCAAATGTAATACATTCCACTTTATTCATAGAACAACTTTTTGAGTTAGGTACCATTATTTGGTCCATTCTCCAAATGAGAAAACTGACAAGTTGTATCAACTTGCCCAAGGTCACATGAATTTGAAAGAGTTAAGCCAGATATATAAGCCAAAATAACCTGATTGCAGAAACTGCTATATAGTAACCTCTCCATTATATTCTCAGTTAACTACTGATCTTCCTCTCAACCCAGTTGGAGTATGTCTTATTGATCTTATTTTAAAGATAGGCAGATGGAGGTAGAAATTTAGTAACTTGCACAAGATCGCTTAGGAGCTATGGTAGCAAGATTAAAACTGGTTTAGTCTGGTTCCAGACTCTAAAATTTCCACTCTGTTATTCTGCTTTTGTTGCAGTATTTTTCATTCTTCAGTTACTGATTTGGTCATTTAGTCAACAAATATTTGTTGCGTGTTTTGTACAATGCTTTTTTCTGGGCTCTGGTGATACAAAGAAAGTGAAAAAGAAAGACAAAGTTGCAAAGTTAACATTCTAGGTGGGGGCGGGGAGGGGGGCAGATGGCCAATAAAGGAATAAACCAGTAAGTGAATGTCAAGTGTTAGTAGCTGCAATGAAGAAAAATAAGACATTGTAAGAGGCTAGAAAATGATGGGAAGATGGGTGTATTTACATTTTTTAGATAAGATGGTCAATGCAAGGAAATGTGCAGCTGTCACTGGTAATTTTATGATACTGTCACTTTCTATCACAAACATTTTGACTCCTTGGTTCATACGACATTGAAACTGAATCGGACTTTTATATCATTCTTCTGGTTTCCAGAAGACTACGCTTGTTAACATCTACCATTTCATTGCAGAAATGATTTTATGCTGGTTTTATTTCATAATTCTGCTTAAAGAGACAAAAAGGGTGATTGTTTTCTATCTAACTATCCAAAATAGCCAGCTTAATAAGGTGAACAAATGTTTGGACTTATTAGGAGAGTCTGCCTTGCCAACAGTTGTGTAAAAGGGTCTTCTCCAGTCATTAACACTTGATGTGGGATATTAGTTCTTAGAGGCAACCTCATGATAAAAGCAGTAGTGATGTCAAGAACTCATTGACAGATTTTAATTGAAGTACACTTATATTACAGAGTATATGATGGTGAGATGTGTTCAACTTGTTTTTGCTTTTCTTTTAAAAAGCTGATACTCTTCTTCCCAGTAGTAATTAAAAATAAACGGCAGTCATTAACTTACTGTGGGCTTCTAATGGCCACAACATTCCTTCCTTGCATGAATGATTTACTGATCTCAAGCAAAGTAATTCAACACTGAAGTTATCTTCAAAATTAAAAACCATTCTAGATAATGAATAGTTTCAATTTCGATAACACCAATTTATGTGTGGTCTTCCTTTTTTATGTATTCTTCTCCACATATACAACTTGCTAACTAACAGAAATGGTCTGAAAGGGACACTACCTCAAAGAATAACTCACAAAGCTCAGTTTCTGTGCTTAACTCTATAGACTCGGGTATGATGTTTACTCATTCATTCAACAAACATTGAGAAGCTTCTTTAGGTTAGGCATTTTCCCAAATGTTTGTGGAGTAAAAGAAGAAAAACAAAGAATTTATTATTACAGAATTGGGTAATATTTTATTCTAATCTCATTCCTTTTATTAAATTGGATGTATAATAATTTCTTGAGCCATATATACATACATATACATACATACATATGTACATATGTATATATAAAGCTTACATATATATATATAAAGCTTGTGTTGAGGATGTGAGGGCAAGTTTGCTGTGGTATCCCTCACTCCATTGTTCACCAAGGTTGATTCCACTCAGCTGGCTAGGTGGATGTCCCCTTCCTCGCTCTCCACTCCCTGTGTGTCCCTCCCAAAACTGCGCCCTCTGTCAAAGTGGACGACCTTCCCAGATAGAGTTCTGTCAAGCGTATAGGAGTAGCTGCACTCCCCTGCTAAAACCTCCAAATGAGCTCCCCAGGTCTATTTGTAGAACATAAGGTTGTCAACGTTCTAAGATTCCAGACACATCCAAATGAGGCACTGCATGTGGCAGTCTACTTTTCTTTTAAAAAACAAAACAAAACAAAAAAACTTGTGTTGAATACTCCTGATAATAAATATTAGTTCATATTCTAATTATTTCTTTGGAATGGATTTCTGCCAGCATAATTACTTAGGTCAAAGGCATATATGTTTTAACCTATTAACAAATTTGCAGAAAATAGGCCCCAAATTGTAAAATAGGGGAAAAGGTTGTATCATTTTATATTGCTGCCTATAGTGTAAGAGAGAGCCTTTCCTTATTCCATTCCCTTGGCAGCCTTAAGAGTATGAAATATTCCACTACATGTATATCATTGATCACTAATCTCTAAACAGTCTTCAAAATTGTTAAAAAATTTCTCATTTTAAAGAATAATTTATGAAATAATACTGATCAAACAATTTTTAGCTGATCCTGATAGTTTTAATCTGGCAAGAGATCATCCAAGGTTTTGTTGTTATTTCTTATATATGCTTATTTTTAAAGTATTAAGACACTATGAAAAATGCTGTCTGTTGGTTTGAGAAGTTTATTTGAATAAAGAAATAAAGATTGCAGCTCATCAAGCTGAATGTTGACATAAAAGCAAATGTCAGAAAATAAATAGATCTGTATTTTGTTAGAGCTTACTTGACAAAAACATATATAGGATATTGAGAATTAAATATGGTAGTAAAACTTTGTATTTGGCGCTAGTGCACTTTATTTAAGCACAAAATTCTTTCCTACAGAAAAATGAAAAGAAAATACTGTGCATCAGTTTACAAGGTCCTACCCACATGTTACTTAAAAATGAGGATATAGGGTAGCTCCGTGATTCTCTTGTAATTATCTGTTGCATCTTTGTAACATCATTTTTGCCCTCTGTTTGTATGTTCAACTACTTGACCTCTCTGTTCTTATCTCAATGGGTATATATGCTCTTTATTTCTAGAACTATGGGACACAAAAAACGGTATGTCAAAGTTCCCCGGGGTCACATCTGGGTTGAAGGTGATCATCATGGACACAGTTTTGACAGTAATTCTTTTGGGCCGGTAAGTCATTTTGTCACATAATAAAATTGGATGCCACATGTAGGAAAAAATTCTGTCAGGTAGATTGCTCAGGTAATCCAGCCAAAACTGACCATGAGTTTCATGGTGGAGCAGTTTATATTTGGACAATTCCTTTAAATATTATATAGATAATATAAGCTGACAAGAAGTGTGTGTGTGCATATCTGTGTGTGTGTTTCATAGAAAAGAACTTAGACCCTTCCATAAACTATCATAAACTTGATAGTTTCTGCTGGCTGACTAATCCCAGTAGGAAGGTCTGGGTTTTTTTCTCCACAGAAATGCTCTGTGCCTTATGTTTTCAGTTAGTGCTTAACATACACAATGTGTAAAAGACCCATAAGCATCAATTTTCTAAACTGTTTGTTAAAAATGCAAGTATAATGGAAATCATATCGGTAGGTACCATTTTTTTGCCCACATTTATTTTGTAACACAAGTGGAGACATTCCTTATGCCATGTTTATATTCTATGAAATATGTGTCTAAACCGATATTTTGTGATTTTTCCACTTTGGATGCGTATAGAAATTCTCTATGAACTTCTGAAATCATTAAAGTGAAGAAGACTTTAGTTAATAAAAACTAAACCTGATTTCTAGTACCTGCATCTGTTTAAAAACTTGGATCTTTAGCCCATTAAACTCTTGTACAGGTGGCCATATCTATGCTTGTTATGTGTGTATACATTAATATTGAGCACTTTAGAATGTTTGCAAAGAAAATTATCCACGTCCTTTTGTCTAAAACTAAATGTTGATGGTCACTGTAAAACAATTTCTGTCACATATTATGAGAGACTCCTATTATTGTCACTAGAGGAACAGCCACATTGACTTACCTTTGGCTAAAAGTACACAATAAAAGAGGTGGGTTTGGATGGGTGTTATGGATAAGTGAAAGAAAACCTTATATGAGACCACTCATGTCTTTTTTTTTTTTTTTT